ATATATGTAGGAGTTTCACAGGGTACGTGGTATTCTAGCTGCAAAATATGCAGGACTGGTCGGTCGAACCCTGTACTGGTATTGTACTGGTACTGTATGATTCAAGGTGTGATAAGAGTTTATACCGTATAAAAGTCTGGGCCTGGTCTCCAATCTCCATGTCTAACTTAGGTACGGGTGCAGATGGTATGTCCCGATCTTAGGTGGTATTTCAGATTCCTACTGTCTGTCTCTATCCTTACTGTCTGTCATTAGATTCCTGTTCAGATTCATTGGAACATTGCCTTGATCGGTGTAATAAATACTACTTTTGGACTTTTGGGAGAGAATTTTCTGGATGAAACATAAGACATTCCGAAAATGAAGCTAGAACCTGCTAGCGCAAGTACGGCTATCTATTTTTAATATGAATCGACTAAGTTACCTTAATGAATCAAAAGACATAGTACTAGCTGCTACTAGCTGCTACTATATAATAGCAGATGTAGTTGTAGGGTTATGGTGGTGTAATGCAGTGAGTGGTGTAGCCTAGTGTCTAGACCCTGGAAGTGCTACGAAAGCGCAGAGTGTTCAGCAGAGTACAGCCTGTTGGAGACACTACGTAACACATTGTTTGAAAGCACCTCTCTTGAATTCCGCGACTACCTACCTCGGCTTCCTACACGTCTGGCTGCTCGGCCCTCACGTGACACCGTTCTGACGTTGTTATTGGTTACCTCGTCTCTTGGTGACGCCGCTATTGGTCGGAATATCTGTCACGAGGCGAACATATGTCTGCTTTTATTGCGGGATAATTTAGCCGGCATTGGTGTCGGAAAACGAACCAGACGGACGGAGTAGATTTCTAAAACCGGACACTGTGTTTGTGGCCTCGCCTGATTTCGCCCTCCAGTCGGAATTTAAATATTCCGGAATTGTTACAATACAATGTAATGATACCTCCAATACGGTGTTGACAAATTTCGATCGAGATCGACATTTCTGTGCATATCTCATTTCACACTTGATGCTATGCTGTATAGTGGGTCTATTATTACTAAGCAGCTCCTTGACATAGTGACAAACGTGTTGATTGCCGGTCAGCTTGAAAGAGGGTTTAAACATTAATTCAGTTCATATATATCATTAATTATGTATGGCGAGTATAGTATATAGGCAGGGCACGGTATTCGGGTGACACGGGGATATTCCGCAATATATAACCCAACAAATAGCTGATGTCCGTAATAATAGCACTCTTATAGGCTAAGAGAAGGCACGTCGACAGTTACTATTGAGCCCTAACATATCATCAGTTCACAGCTTTTTAACCTGCTCGCTGCCAGTTTTAAGGTGGTTTTACCTGGGAGAGTAGCATTTGTGTGTGAACATTAATATTTAGTGCTGACTCACTTGGCAAAGGACTCTAACAGCGGGGAAACACACACTTTTAACATGATAGTTTGTAGTGTGTTAGGAGGAATGGTATTGGTGGAATTGAGAGTGCATATTATTAAGCTGTACATTAAGCTGGTACATGTTTCGTGGTCAGCTGAATAGACGGGAGACTTTCAGAGATCTATTGTTGAGGAATAAACCACAGGTTGGAGCGAGCTGTCTCTTCATCATGTGATGGCGCGGAATTGTCCTGTATTTGATGGACGCGTGTCGTTTTGACTGTGGTTTGAAAACAGGTGCATCAGTTTCACAATCCTAATCCCATTTAGAGACCATGGTTGCCGGGTCGTGGGGTCTACCAGGCGACCAGGCGGCTCCCTGTGTCCCTTAATTAACCTTATTCTGTAGAGCACGGAGCATGGGCAATACCTGGCCACCCGGGACACGGACATGACGCTCAATCCGACCAATGACGGCATGGAAGTCAGGTCATGTGACCAGGTCTAGCCAATGAGAGGGCTGGAAGAGAACGAGAAGTGTGGAACAGGGGACACGGCACCCAATATTGTCAGACGTTAGTTTACACGAGGAGCTTTGCCAGTCCTCATTAATAGCTATCTCTCACATGTTAAATCCCTTCATACCCTCCTAATCTATCAAATAGAAAGGTCCGCTAAAAATTTGATTAGACGGTCTGTGTTAATGTGGGCTCATTGGATCATCATTTTGAACAGTCTCTCGGCCAATCAGATTTATTTCCGCTGGAATCACCCAATCGGAACACAGTCCGACATGTTACTTGTATTAATATATACTGGATTAGTCACGTGTCAAGGCAGGTCTCATGAATTAGCCCCACAGCTTTGCGTACTAAGCATAATATGATCATTTTATTACTAGTTTATTACTTCTGTCTGGGTCCATTGGATACTTAAGAAGTTATGCGGAGGAGGAGGAGTTACGTAGTTGAGGACCGACTCTTTGAGCATGGCTTTGAACATGGCTTTGTGCCGCTCTGCAGCTCTAATAGTTGGTCCTCTCTGTGCGCTAATAATTATAATCGTCACATGTCATCAGATTTGACAGTCTTACTTTTCCTAAACCAATCACACGAAACCCGTGTCACATTTTGACCTGAAAATCACCCAGAAAACCTGTTTTTCTCTACCGTGTCCACTGGCAGATATCACTGTAATTAAAGATAATGTTTCAGTAGATGTTTCAGCTGAGGTGGCTGTGACAGTGGTGTTGTTAATGAGCCCCTGTGTGGTTTGTGGGTTGTAGCGGGGCAGGAGTAATGAGTCATGTCACGTGATGCACTGTGGTTTATAGGTCGTACTAGTGGGACAGGGTAATGGCCACATATCGCTCCTCTTAGGATGTAATCGACACTCTGTGTGAGTCACGTGATACTCTTTGTGGGCGATCTGTCAGATGTCAGAATACAGTCCAGCTATTAGTTTACAGCAAGAATCCCCCTCATTAGTGTCAGAGTCCCCGAGTTTTTAAATCGGGGCTGGGGCTCATTATCTGTTTTTAAAATCGGGCGGGTGCAGATTATCCTAATTATCAGCTTTAAATTCAGCAGGTCTCGGGGTGTTTGGGAGCAGCTGTTTTTATTGACGGAACTGTTTTGACAGAACACTCTGCATAATGTTTTAAGTGCTCTGAGCTGGGCAGCGCTCAAGGTGCTATGTTTTCCTGTTTTAGAGTTTTAGTAACAAATTAGAGTAAACAATTCCAAGCTGTGAACATTTTATTTAGACATCTTCAAACTTCATCATAACTGGTGAGAAAAATGTCTGGTGGTCGCCGGAATGACTAGAAATATCGATTTGAAAAGATATTTTTTAGTAGAGTCGAGTCGTTAGTAACAGTGTCCGCTATAAACTAAATACCGATCAAGTGTCCTAAATAACAGAGCTCATTTGTCGTCATTCCCGTACTAGTCATGATATCTGTTTTTCCGACTTCTGTCAATGGTTATTGCGAACAATTACCGACCATCCAAAAACCACCATAAATGTTTAACATTAGCCGCTAACTTTAGAATTCCATTGACCCGTATTAAAGTAGTCTGGTGAGGTAAGATCTAAACTAGTCCACCTTTGTCCCAACCACCGGTGTAGTGTCCCACCCGTCCCACTGAGCAGGCTAGGGTCGGACTACACCAGTGTGGATCTAATAGGTCGCCGGGTAGTAGCCTGATACATCCTGCCTACACTGTCCCACCACATTCCCACTACAAGTGTTAGCTCTTTTACATTTCCTGGAGTCACGTGGCCATTATCCACCAGTCACAGAGCAGCTAGGATCATATCTGCCAATCGGATAGCAGCTCGTCTGCCAGGAAGTTTGATCTGCCGAGGTCTGCCTAGCTCAGAGTAGTCTACTCCGAGACCGCCAAATTGAGGGACTTCTCCACGAGTACGGGGCTGATATCAAACATTAAAAGCAAACAAATTGGGTTTCCGCCCCCTCGGCCCCGTTATTACCCACAATACCTAAATGTGGGCATGTGTCTGTGCGGGAATATAGCGCTCCGAATGCATGTGTGTATTGCAATTATTAATAATGTCTAGTTGTGTCTATTGCTGGTATATTGAGGTATTCAGAGCCCCCGCTAGTAGCGTCTGCGAGTGTGTGGGTATTGTGTTGTGGTGTATAATGTAAGATTGCCTTCTCAACGCTTACAAAATAAGATAATGTCTGTACTCTGTAATCTAATGTAATATTTCCGTTTGCTTATTATCTGAAATAATATTTCTTCATCATACGGTATACTGAAGCAATTAAGTTTAATCACGTGACACACCAAACTTACTAACTTACGGTGTCCCTCTCCTAAAATAGCTATAAACTTTAAGCTATTTTAAGACCTATTATGATATAGTTCTCTTTCATCGGTACAGGGCTCAGGCCTCAGTGCAATCCGCATCCAGAAAGGCGGCAGATCCGCAGATCGGCAGATAAAGCCAAAGGAAAATTTGGAGGAAATTAGGTTCCAAAGAGGAAATGTTTGTAAGACCCGACCTTTTTCTTTTAGGGCATAAGACAATTTTCAGGAGGGAAACATTAAACTGCGAAGAAATTCAAAACTTTCTGGATGCGGGGCAGTGCAAATTTAAGTGCAGTAGACACCACGGTAGCTGAAACAAAAAGTCCGGCCTTTCGTTAAAATCTCCGAAATGTCTCAAAATTCAATGAATAATTTCTTACTAATAACGTTTAATACCGCATGGGATGACTACACCCTCGAGTTAATCCAGCGCATCCAGAGATTCCGAACCGTAAAAACAACTCCGAACCGTAACAAAAACAGTTATTGTCACTAATAACCGTGACTATAACTAATGACCCGTGACTAATAATACTCAATCGCTTGGTTAGCTCTAAGTAGGTGTGCAGGTAATGTGAGGTATGTCATCAGATAGCTGCACACATTTAGACTGGGTACAGGGTGGGCACATGCGATATGTTTCGTCATATTTACTGGGGTGCAATATTCTTACAATACCCTGACAGATTATCATACCCATATTATGACTCTTAGAGTTTAACGTGATTTTGGTTTTTAACCGATGTAAAATTATCAATTATCTAACGTGCTCTCCTCCCTTCAGATGCCAACAAACCATTACCTAGCCCCGGAGCTATTCACCAGGGGTCGCTTTCTATTCGACAACAGTTACCGACAGATGGACGTTTACTCTGCTTCACTCGTAGTGTGGCAGATCATCAACCGCTGCATAGACGGTATGTTTAGAACTTAATCTTATTTGACTTATAAACAAATTGTTTATACAAGTATCTAGTTTTTATATAATATATTATATTCGATTATAATGATTTTGATTTTCGAAATTCGACGAGATCTTTTGCGGCTGACCACTGAGGAAATGTTTACGGAATACCCCTTTGAAGATAATCCTCACGAAGATAATTCTAGTTTTCGTGTAAATGTTCGTAATACCAGAGCACATCGGTTCATATTATGTTTAACTCTGCAGCAAGGTGGATCCAGTTGTATTGTTGTATCTTTAGTTATTTTCCTTTGAGACGACGCTACTTACCGTCTTGTGTAGATACGGAATTTGTTGCCGGTAGAATCGCCCGCGAAAACTGACCTCTATAATTAAACCATGTGGATTGTAAGAATACCTATTGATATTTTAAATGTAGGGCCCTTGCGAAGTGAAGCATTCTAAAGTCTGACGTACAAGCTACAAATACTTAACTTTTAGTCCGATCACTGGATCAATTGTTCTCCTTCATTTAACCTCTCTTTTGTCCTTTTGACCTAATTTTCCCATTGAGGGGAACCTCGCCGAAAGGAGGGCAAGCAGTTAGGATATCAATTAACAAAAGATAAATGGTGATCAGTTCTGCATCACTCAGACAACTTCACCCTGACATCACGGAACTAAAGTAGGAACAAACGTGACACTGACCCTTCCGCAGAAGGTAACTTTCTAACTTTCAACTCAATTCCTTAATTGCACCCGCTAAGTGGAAGGAAGAGCTTTTCCTGGGTCAGTAATTCCTGGACTGTTGATGGGATATGATACGGAAAGTTGGCAGGAGTAAGATTCTGTGAATACCTATATAAACATGTTAATGGCCTGACCTTGGAATATACGCCGAATCTATCCCGATGTTACCCCGGAATACGTATGGGAAGCTATACTCTATTTCTTTAATCACGTGATGTATATTCATAACTTTATAATATGACATGGCCAGTGGGACTGAGAAACGAGTGTGGAATGATATAGGACATACAACACATAATATATCATGTAATTATCGAGAATTATCCACGCATGATCTATTTCCCCCGAAAGTTATGATATTCAGTTAACCGGAAAATTATTGTATCTTACACTCGATGAAATACCCACCTCTACATTTACTACAAATAATACTCCGACATCATTCAGCGAGGCGAGGATACTGAACCATCCTGTTATTATACCGTATCTCAATTTAGCCACTCGACCGAGACGTACCCTTCAGAAAATAAAGTAAAGAGAATGGTGGTAGCCGGAACGTGGTATGTAGTGTTGAGTGAGTGATGCATAGCACTGTACATGCAGCTAGACGTTGTATAATTGGTGTATATAAATTATAAATGCACTCAACAGCATATTCAACAGTCAGCCTAATACTTTTACTAAGATCTCTACCGGCCTGGTAGTTTGACGGAGGTTGAACATTGCCGGGTTCGCCGCTAACTTTGACCCCTAACCGTGAGCTGATTTAAACGTCACACTAGGGCTAATTTAAGAGTGATAATATGAGAGGATATCTGTCAGTAGATTTATAGAGAATCATCTAAGTTGTATGCTAGTAGCCGACACTGTATCAGACATAATCCTCTGATATTGTCTATATAGATAGCAGATCTCGCATGATCGCTGCGCTTGCAAGATAACACCTCTAGATATTTGGTAGCTTATGTATGATACGAGGTAGTGACGTGAAGCAGTATAAGTGGTAGATGCGTAGAAAGGTCACGTGAAGCCAAGGCATGAAGTGGTAAAAACATGCTCAGTTGTGCCAGAAAGTATGAAGTGGTAAAAACTGGTCTGCTGTCAAATACCACAGTTGTTCGTAGGTCAGAAAATATAGAATCGCTGTGGAGCCAAACGGTGGCGCGCATCGTGAGTGTAGTGATTCTTGAAGCACCCCAAGAATCTTATGGTGACAAAAATAAGATATTTAGCATACCATAAGTTACAAATCAATCAATCATGGGCGATACCCTATTCCTATTCTCATAATATAGTGAAACCTTGACGTTTTAAAACGTGTCACAGATTGCGACAGAAATGAACGTCATTATGATTGTAGATGTGGGGGACCACGCGGCACACGTTCAACTAAGTGACTAAAATTTAGAAACCTGGTGCGAGCTCTTCACAATCTAGATTAGCCTCCCAATTAATATAACAGACCTGGCTTGCTGTTCCTCTTGTACCTAGTACACACTGACACAAGCTCAAACATCTCCTCCCTTATTTTGGAATGTCGTGCTTTACGCGACTCCGATAATTCGTGAGTAGTCAGGCTGTCTGTGAATCAGCTCTTAGTTTCTCCTCACTTTCAAGTATCCGACCTGATATTCATAATTCAACACTTGGTTTAGGCTAGTCATTGAACAACCTTCCGAGTCCATGATCGGCTTGGAAAGCAGCTCAATGATTCCTCTCCCTCATTTCATTAGCTTATTACATGTGAAACACGTGAAAGTTGCGCACATGTCCCCCTCAGAACAGTAATATCGGCGGGCTGTGAGCCAGGAGCTCTACATACAGCAGAGCGTGCATAATGTTTGGTTGGGATATCAGGCCTGCAATTGGATACATTTTGAGAGGATGTAACGAGGTACTTCTTCGTAATCAGGCATCTTATCATTGCAAATATTTAAACGGTCATTAGGAATCTTGATAGGGTGATCGAAATCGATTCGAAATAATTAGGCTGACAATGAGCTGAGGCTATCGGAAGTCTATATAATAAGATCAGTATCAATAAAGGAATGTATTTTAAGATACGCACGTGCCAATGGTAGCAGAATGTTGCAGTATAAGAAGCAACTGGTATGTAAATGTCGGTGGCAGCTAAATTCCACGTCTAGTCTTAAGAGGCCGCCTCTCTTATCAGTATTCTAACGTCTGTAATCACGAGTTAACCTCTCCTGCCTGTTACTCAGTTAACACAGTCTCACCCACAAACTTAATGTCTTTATACTTCTCCGCCACTGTTTGAAAACTGATTCTAAAAATCAAACGTGTAAATTTGATTATTTCTGGTTGATTGGAAAGGGTGTAAATATTTGGAGATGGTGTGAATATTTGAGTGTTATTTTGATGACGGTTTTGTTGGTAAATACAAGGAGCAATAATAACTTTCATGCCTGTAAATTTCATCAATTAGTGGTGGTCCTGGTTTTTATCATCGGTTACTTTTAAAATTAGAGAAGTCTCCTCCTCATCCACATGCAGAGATAAAGACGCGACATTTTGTTAACCTGTAAGTATAATTACTAATTAGTTTCATTTCTGGTAATACTCGACTAGCGCACGAGAAGATAATTCGTAAGACGAAGAATAAGCTGTGATTTGGTAAAAGTAGCTTGTGAATTCTCAATTCAGAATTACTGCCAAGAATTAGATAAGTAGAAATTCGAATAATTGCTACTGATAGGGAATAATAGCACTCCTATGAAATGATAATTTGGGATAATTCACGTAATTTTCATTTAATTTCGTCCCGGACCGTTTAAATTTGTTGGATTGCGGCGAGAATTGTGAAATTTATGGCTGCCATAATATCATTCTGGTCATAACGAGAAGTTGTAGATGCTGGGAGCAGTGGAGTTCACATTTGTCATGACGCACAGCTAGCCACTATTCCAACTCGTCTTATACCAGGAACAAGATTTAATTTCCTCTAATAATAGAGCATTGAATCGCAGGTCATCATAATTATGACAGTAAGTCTTATCAGTCATTCCCAGATCTACAACTTTTGTTCACAGTTACGACAGACCAAGCAGACCAGGCAGATCTTGTGTCGGTTCTAAAGATCCTTTACAAAATGAGAATATTATTTCTGATCTTTTGTGATTTTGAACTGATTGTGAAAATCAGGATAATTCTGGTGTCTCCACGTGCTCTGAATAAATCAGTATCTTAGCCCAAGTCCAGACAGTAACATTATATCTGGCCTGCCTGTCCTAAATTCTTTCATTCATTCTCTCACAAGACCGACATAATTACCCCTTGCCACTCGAACAAATTCACATAATGTAAATTCCTGCCTCGGTTAAATTTTGTAGTCTGAGCGCGGTCGGTGAGAGCCTGTGCTAAATAACAGTAGACAAAAGAAAAATGGTAGACGTTGTGCCAGTAACCAGCCACACATCAGTTTAGCATCCAGCCACACGTCTCATGTTGTACACTCGAGATAGCTGTGCAGTCTAGTAGTAGCTCTCTGTGTGCTCTGAGAAGTGTAACGTTTAGTTCTGAGAAGTGTAACGTCTAGTTCTGAGAAGTGTAACGTCTAGCTATGAGAAGTGTAACGTTTAGTTCTGAGAAGTGTAACGTTTAGTTCTGAGAAGTGTAACGTCTAGTTCTGAGAAGTGTAACGTTTAGTTCTGAGAAGTGTAACGTCTAGTTCTGAGAAGTGTAACGTCTAGCTATGAGAAGTGTAACGTCTAGCTATGAGAAGTGTAACGTCTAGCTATGAGAAGTGTAACGTTTAGTTCTGAGAAGTGTAACGTTTAGTTCTGAGAAGTGTAACGTCTAGTTCTGAGAAGTGTAACGTTTAGTTCTGAGAAGTGTAACGTCTAGTTCTGAGAAGTGTAACGTCTAGCTATGAGAAGTGTAACGTCTAGCTATGAGAAGTGTAACGTCTAGTTCTGAGAAGTGTAACGTTTAGTTCTGAGAAGTGTAACGTCTAGCTATGAGAAGTGTAACGTTTAGTTCTGAGAAGTGTAACGTTTAGTTCTGAGAAGTGTAACGTCTAGTTCTGAGAAGTGTAACGTTTAGTTCTGAGAAGTGTAACGTCTAGTTCTGAGAAGTGTAACGTTTAGTTCTGAGAAGTGTAACGTCTAGCTATGAGAAGTGTAACGTCTAGTTCTGAGAAGTGTAACGTTTAGTTCTGAGAAGTGTAACGTCTAGCTATGAGAAGTGTAACGTTTAGTTCTGAGAAGTGTAACGTTTAGTTCTGAGAAGTGTAACGTCTAGTTCTGAGAAGTGTAACGTTTAGTTCTGAGAAGTGTAACGTCTAGTTCTGAGAAGTGTAACGTTTAGTTCTGAGAAGTGTAACGTCTAGTTCTGAGAAGTGTAACGTTTAGTTCTGAGAAGTGTAACGTCTAGCTATGAGAAGTGTAACGTCTAGCTATGAGAAGTGTAACGTCTAGCTTTGTGAAGTGTAACGTCTAGCTATGAGAAGTGTAACGTCTAGCTATGAGAAGTGTAACGTCTAGCTATGAGAAGTGTAACGTCTAGCTATGAGAAGTGTAACGTCTAGCTATGAGAAGTGTAACGTTTAGCTCTGAGAAGTGTAACGTTTAGTTCTGAGAAGTGTAACGTCTAGCTCTGCTCTGAGAAGTGTAACGTCTAGCTCTGAGAAGTGTAACGTCTAGCTATGAGAAGTGTAACGTCTAGCTCTGCTCTGAGAAGTGTAACGTCTAGCTCTGAGAAGTGTAACGTTTAGCTCTGTGAAGTGTAACGTCTAGCTTTGTGAAGTGTAACGTCTAGTTCTGAGAAGTGTAACGTCTAGCTCTGAGAAGTGTAACGTCTAGCTCTGAGAAGTGTAACGTCTAGCTTTGTGAAGTGTAACGTCTAGTTCTGAGAAGTGTAACGTTTAGTTCTGAGAAGTGTAACGTTTAGTTCTGAGAAGTGTAACGTTTAGTTCTGAGAAGTGTAACGTTTAGCTCTGAGAAGTGTAACGTTTAGCTCTGAGAAGTGTAACGTCTAGCTCTGTGAAGTGTAACGTCTAGCTATGAGAAGTGTAACGTTTAGTTCTGAGAAGTGTAACGTCTAGCTCTGAGAAGTGTAACGTCTAGCTCTGTGAAGTGTAACGTCTAGCTCTGAGAAGTGTAACGTCTAGTTCTTAGAAGTGTAACGTCTAGCTCTGAGAAGTGTAACGTTTAGTTCTGAGAAGTGTAACGTCTAGCTTTGTGAAGTGTAACGTTTAGTTCTGAGAAGTGTAACGTCTAGCTCTGAGAAGTGTAACGTCTAGCTTTGTGAAGTGTAACGTCTAGCTCTGAGAAGTGTAACGTCTAGCTCTGAGAAGTGTAACGTTTAGTTCTGAGAAGTGTAACGTTTAGTTCTGAGAAGTGTAACGTCTAGCTTTGTGAAGTGTAACGTCTAGCTTTGTGAAGTGTAACGTCTAGCTATGAGAAGTGTAACGTTTAGTTCTGAGAAGTGTAACGTCTAGCTCTGAGAAGTGTAACGTCTAGCTTTGTGAAGTGTAACGTCTAGCTATGAGAATTGTAACGTCTAGCTATGACAAGTGTAACGTCTAGCTCTGCTATGAGAAGTGTAACGTCTAGCTCTGCTCTGAGAGTGTAATCTAGCTCTGATAATATCTAGTCTGAAAGATGACTCTCTGTCTCAGAGTGTACAGTAAACGTGGACCGAACTGCACGTCTACTGGTGCCTGTCACGACAACATAACGTGCGCTCTTGTCGGGCTTCAGTCCACATACTGCTGGTAAGGTAGGTGTGTCTGAGGCCTCCTTTCTCTGTCAGATGTTGGAAGAGTGGCGCTCTCCGGCCTTGTCGGCAGGCATTTACGTGAGCTGCTTTCTCCCTCTTCCTTAATCAAGCGCCGAAATTTTACAACGCGAAATTTGAAAATTGTCCAACATTCCTTTGGAAGGGTGAGTGTTTCAAAGGTAGGGTAAAATTCAAGCGATCTTTGCGTGTCGGACGATCGTGATATTATTTAGAATCAAATTAAAAACCAGCCCTTCCAACCCTGAGTTTTTAAAAATTCCTCTAATTTCTACCTCTCAAAGCTCTTCTTTTCGATGATTTCTGTTCTTCAGGGCTTATATAAAAGCCATGTAATTCAATGTCATCGCCTTTAAATATACGGTAATGAAAGAATATAAATACGGGCTGTGCGGAAAACGTCGAGACCGACCAGTACGAAACATTAAGCTTACATACCTACCAAGTTTATCCTGAAATCTAAAACCTCCGCCCTCACTAGAAACCATCACAATGCGAGCTGCATGTCTTAGCTTGGGCGAGAATAAAACTGCAACTTTTCTTTTCTTCTCGGGCACGTGCCTGACCAGCTGTGAAACCATGATCTGTTAATTTTTTGTCGGGAGATCAGTCCATTACTTGTCATTACCGCAGAAGAAGGACAATTACTATGTTCTTAAAAATTATTTGCGAGATATAAGAGAATCCTTAGTACGCCACCCTGTCACGTTACTCTGTGACATTATCCAGACATAATTTTCACAGCTAAAGTGTGATGACTGGCGGACTGAAATTATGACCTCATGAAAGCTGAGGGGCAGCTGAGGAGAAGCACAGTGGAAGCATTTATAGAACTAATTATTGTATTAGTAAGTGTAAAGATTAATGCAGTGCTTCTAGACGAAGGCGAGATTGGATCGACCAAGACAATATGAATGGTATGGTAAACGTTCCTGAAGTGGTAATTGTGGGAGATAAGAGTATTCACCACAGCCTGTACACGACGTAATGGAGACACAGGCACACTCGCTTCTTTGTTAGCTCATATCTTTTGTTTTTGGCTTCTCTTTCACCAGAAAAGTAGATATTGGATATGATTATGACCTATTGGATAGTGTAATTACCTGAGCTATTACATTAGCTCACATCGCAAAACTACCGCGAATATGTGTCATCGGCCAGTCCGTACATACGCTTTGCTCTGATGTCGGGTACTGCTTCCTAGGTAAAGATCTGGCAGATATCCAAAGTCCCATGTATACTAAAAGGCTTTTATCTGTTTCACTGGATTGAGTTAATGCGAGGTGGCGGGTACTCCGACAGTTCCAATATAATGATATTTTCAAGAGTGGGGAGACGAGACCTCCCTCCGACTATCAGGTCTGGGTAAGGGTCTGGGAAACAACACTTTGTATCCACTTAGGAAGATGGGGTGAAACCCGCGCATTAACTAATAGCCGTCTCGTTGGCAGACGACACAATCTTTAACAGTTTTTGAAGAATTCCCCCCATTATGGTCGACTAAATTAGTATCCGAGTATTATCAAAGGTCACCCCAAACCCAAGATATAAACGTAGACTTAGTTTTGTAACCTGAAACATTAGACAGCCCAATTGGTAATCTCCCGTAATTTCTGGCGATTATATCCATTGAGCTCATCATATTAAAACCTAACCGGGTTTTATAAAATGATTTGGAGGATATGCAGGGCTACTGTACTACCTAGGGTCATATGACTATACCTGGAACTCGTGTTTACAGTTTCAAACATCTCCGAGGGAAGAAGGCAAATTGTTTTCCCTAACTAGAGGGACTTTATAAATGAAAGCAACAGTCTTCAAGTCTAAGGATGTTTGCTACTTTTGTTCTAACTAAGTAGCTCTTGATAGAAACTATTACTCCATTACATATTATTCTGTCATTTGGAGGCTGAGCTCTGGAATGCTGAGAGCGACACGTGCCATATGATAATCTATTGGTTCGGGTCATTAAGTTCAAAATGGGTATCAAGCTTGCTAATCTGCCTACTTACATTTATTACAATTGTTTACAATCTATCTGTTCGCGAGAAACGATTACGATCCTGAGGCCAGGGATAACTTGAAGTTTCCCATCCATTATAACTCTGCTTGCTTTTGAAAGGTAAACGCTTGCTGGCAGCAATTGCTTTGAATCCAACGTATCGATTATCGTAGAGCCTTCAGAAGTTCATTCGCTACCCTGAATCCTATAATAGACATTAAATGTCTGATTCATGAATTACAGAATAAATCAGGTGAACGATAAACGCAGACAAATGCAGGACTAGTGGTTGAATTTGCTGACAAACTGTCTTTCTAACTGGAAATACCTTTGACGGACTACATATTTTATGCTTGTCCTGGGTTTCACTGTGCTCTGCAGTATACACTAAGGTTGAACTGACTCTTCTCTACACAATAAATGTAGCGTAGTCTACTTCACTTTGAGACCTCAGACCACATTGAAAAGTTTAATACAAATGACGGGCAATTATCAAATTAATATAACTTTATCAAACCCATTAGCTTATTAAAATAACAGGTTCAATTTAAAACGACCATTATAAGACAATGGCATGTTTTGTTGTGTCGTGTAGGATATATTGTTGAGTTCATCTGACCCGAGACCAGTTTAAATTGGTCTATAATTTAAGGTTTATAGTCGTGAACTTATGAAACAAGGTAAAAAGTTATTTCAGGCGGAGCTAATTTGTGAACAAAAGGCTAGACGCATCTTGTAAAGCGTCCTGTAAATGACATAGTCTAGAGGGGTGTTTAGCGTTATAGTTCAGAGCCGTGACACTGGCTTAAAACATTCTTATACAGTATAATTTACAAGTATAGTTACATGACTTGTACTTAAAAGTACCTAATTTCTGAAAACCCACCTTGGAACCTACCCAGTTAAATTCCAAAATGTCATACCTACAGAAAATACAGTTACATTGACCATGTAATTTCGGACCAACTTATTGCCGGCAAAATTTGGATTAGTTATAGGAATTAAACAGGTTCAGTAATCTTAGTTTCAGGGTAATTAACATAATTAACATAATTAACTAATGACCCTTGTTCTCCCAGGTGGAGCACTGCCGTTCAGTCTACCCTACGAGCAATACGTAGGATCTCATCCTACACTGGGGGACATGTCGGAGATCGTTCCAGATACCAGACCTACTCTCCACGCCGTCTGGCTTCAACACCCTGTAAGTATACTTCAAACCCCTCTAATTCAACGGCACTATAATCTCCAGTTTATAATAATAAGACTCTTAAGACTGTACTGGTGTGTCGTGTTTATATATATATATGTGAGATGTGTATTTTGTCCAGTAAATGTTTATTGTTTACGATGTGGCCAGTGTTAGCGCTCACCCCGCCTCGACGGTGCAGGTTAATTCCCTCAAAGGACGCAGCAAGGCCGCTGTAATCTAACCCAACTTTAAAAACCCTAATGTCCGGTTTCGTTGCGTGCATGTTAAACAACTCAGCTACATTATCAAGCGGGCACTGTACATTCTAGCACATATAGCTCCCTCCTCCCGCCCCCACGTCTGTCACTCATTAGCGCTCTCATCTGTCACTCTAATTGTGGAACTAATTGTTACATTGGATGTCGTGCTAATTGGTCCGCTAATCGGTACACTAACTAAATGGTTACACTCAATTTTCACCTTATCTGCGATTACACAGCGCGCTCATATGATCTCATATGACGGGATCACGTGTGGATCACGTGAGCCGTGCTGAGTGTGCACTAATGAAATGAGGGTGTGACTTGGTGAGTGTAGCCGGACAATGTGTCACCTCCCTAATATTATCAGTGATGTAACCTGGCGCTGGCCAGTATATTATATGCTCGTATTATCTGTCATATATATACTGGGCGAGTGTAAGTAAGACTCCGTGATGCTCCACACAGTGACCGACATTGTGAACATTCTTCTTCCGGTATAGCCCGGCTACCTTCCTTTATGTCTCCCTCTCTTTACCGAACAAATCTAGTGTCTAGTGTACTGAGAGAGCTACTGTAAGTTAAGATTTCTGGAACGGAATCAGATTTGTAGGATAAAAAGTGCAAATTACAGTTACTCGGGGCGTTAGTTAGTTCCGCGGAATAGCAGGGAATGTACAGTTTGCGTCATTATCGGTCATGGTCATTGAACATCTTTCCTTGGATTCCGGAGTACTAGCACGTACTCTTCTGCGGACAGTAACTTTCTTCTAATATTTACTGGATTTATGTGTTTTAAAAATAGAATATCTTTAAAGAATAATTTCTCACGGGGATCGGCCGGAAAAGAAATGATCTGGGAAACTCGTTAGTTTCCAAAATGTCTAACATGTTGTAAAGTAAGGCTAAGTAGGCGGAGTGTGCGGCTATAATATTAATAAAATGCATATTGTATGTGATGTATAATAGCTGTCCGAACTGTTTTTAAAAATCAATCTACTTGCTAAGCGTATTTTTAGCTGAGGCATGAGAGGTAACATATTCGCTACATGTAGCGCCCTGCCGAGTTGCCCAAATACACATTTATTTCTTTGTAGCCGAACTTTATTCCATTTATTCCATGTTAAATTTGCTCTCAACAGGAGGCCACTTGTCGTGATAATTTCATGGTTACTGGATTTGAGCCACAGCTATTCACGATAACAATCGCGTCACGTGCCATGCAAGTTTAATTCGTGATCCTTGCTCTGCTTGGAACATAACCTAGCTTAGTAAATAAATGTAATAAATATAATAACAGATAAAGACTAAAGGCCTCCAATGAGATAAATTACTGACAATCAAAATGCCAAGGTCGACTATATTCACTACAATATATACTATATAATAAGTACTGCCATGTGTTATCATAATATCGGCTAGCCAATGATATAGCATATATTAAGGGTAGCAGCATAGTCACCATGTCAGCGTCAATAAGTCTGTGTCTATCAATGATATATGGGTTAATTTCATTGTATTCAGTTGTTTAGCGTCCTCCACGGTAAATAAGATTATTAGTGTGTCCCCGTGTCCCATTTCCCAAATAATTGATCTCCAGTGTGGGTGTACCCAGTATCATCATAATATCAACCTCATCGTATATTATTCTATATTGTCTGTGTTATGTGAGTTACACTGGGGGTGCCATCTCCCTTGAAATGTTTATAGAAGGAGGGGAGGGGGAGGGGGAGGGGGAGGGGGAGGGGGAGGGGGAGGGGGAGGGGGAGGGGGAGGGGGAGGGGGAGGGGGAGGGGGAGGGGGAGGGGGAGGGGGAGGGGGAGGGGGAGGGGGAGGGGGAGGGGGAGGGGGAGGGGATTGTCAATGGTACAATAGTTTTTATACTGACTCTATAATCTGTACACATTGAACCAGGGCCACGGTACGAGGCTCAGCTCTCATCACTACTTCACATGTAATACCATCACGGTAACTGGTCTCTGATCCTATACTATTTATAAAGGACCAATTGTAATGAAGTCCTTTGAAGAAATCATTATACGCGTCGTAACTAGTAACTACACTCTCAAATTTAGTCGCTCGTATATATAGCAGTATTATATTGGTAACATTAAGTTGGGCGTTGATACGCAAAGGACAGGCTATGTCGAGATTTTTTCTGCCATGTAAAATAGTGTGTCGTTACTTCAGAAAGTATTGCAGGCGACATAGCTTACATCCACGAATATGAAGGTCTCTCATGTCCTGTTAAATGTTATTTAAACTTGATGACAGACAAATTATTCATGTTTTGTGTATGTTGAGGGGAAAGACACGTGATTGAGCGGCCAATAAAAAGAGGGAATTTGTTAGCAGTGTGCAACATGTTATGTCCCATGTGTATTAGGAGTGTTGTAATGTCTGGGACGGGGTTGCTGGGTGCGCTAACACCGCTCCTCACCCACCCCCTCCTGTACTAGTCGCGTCTTTGTTTTCAAAGGTTTTGAGAGTTAAAATGTTGGGACGTTGTGTTGTGTGTTGTTAACAGAAGGACTGGCGGCAATGTTTGGTTGTGAAGAACAGTGCGGGAGTTTAAAACCTCAGCATCTGTCAACATATCTCCTCTTCGTTAAATACTCTCCCTGCAATATAACTTATATATCTAATACTAATATATATCGTAGTTAACACTAACAATCTTGTCAGGAGCTTAAGAAGTTGTGTTGGTTGGTTCAGCTGGCATGGAAAGCGGTACCCTCACAGCGTCTCACAGCGCACTGCATTCACCGGCTCCTGCGCGATCCTGTTGCGCTGGATGCGCTCTGCGGCGGACGCACTCAGGACACATCTTTCTAGGCTCATTTTTCCGGGGTTACCATTGGTTCAGAGGGACATCTTTACTGATAGGTTACATTTAGTGCTAGTCCACAGACCTGTAGTTATATTTGTTCGGGATTTTTAACCTTTTTACTACGGATTCAAGATCATTTTTAATTGATGTTTCAGGCAATATATTTACTAACAAAGTATTTATTGTCAACTAACAGTTTTCCTTGAATTGCCCGTCATGTTAATTATTACACTGGTAGCTTTATTAGACGTATTATTTATGAGTAATTTATTGGACATACGAGTAGCAAGTATTTTATTAGAGGAATGGAACGTTTAATATCAAATATTAGCCCTTGTCTATATTTAAGGATTCCTAAATTGGTTTTCTATATTCCTCGAAAGTAAGCTCGATAATATCATGTTTGTTTAGTGTCTAGACCTTACCCAGCAACAAAAAATTATATGTATATTTACTGCCGGGAAATTGAATAATTGGCATTCTTGTCAGTTTTAATTTTTCGTGCATCCAGTTCTGTGTTGATCGATATAATATTGTGCTATAGTTACAAATTATATAGTGTTTGTAAAAAACAAGTTTAAAAAATCCCCCTTTTATTTGTGATCACCCGACAATGTAACGATGTTAAAACATTTCTACCTAACGCGCCGTATTTTAGCTTTTAAAAGGCTTACGCTCTTCCGGCTGGCAATTTGCTTCCCACTTCCTATGAAATTGTAAATCATCAAAGAAATAGAGGAGTAAATCTTACGTGTGGAACGCATTCCATTACATGATAATCTAATCCGATTCCGTATATCTGTAGCCTAAATTTTGAACTACTGACCATAGCAGACGCTCGACAGGAAGACGCGAAGATAAATTCCGCAGCAAAAGTGTCTTCCAACCAAGTTTCCATGCGGCGCGCCACTCGTCTAGCTAGCTGGTACGTGATATGCATGATATAATACTATGATATTGCCGCCGCGCGCGGAGTTTGTTGTTGCGCGCAACTCACATGCGGAGCTTTTACAGGTATGGAAAGGATCCAGCCACTCTGCAATTCAACTGGCATTTCATCAAAACCAAACTAATTCCGAAATAGGGACTTCAAGAATAGTTAATATGGAACTCTGAATCATGGCAGCTAATGTCACTTACTACTGCAGGGGCCATCTACTCAGAACACCCCCTTCCCCCGGACGTCCGGATTTCCAGCTTCTTTTAAGAGTACAAATAAAACCAACTCAAATTCATTGTTAATAAAATGTGTAGTTGCTTAAAATAGACAATAATACATTTAGTTTCGAACAAGTTTAGCACAGTTATACATTTAAGTACTCGTTCAAAATACAGGGATCTAAACTTACAGAGTAATTAGTGTCAGAGTCAAAATAAATGGAACTTTTTCGTTATAATTCTGCCAAAATTTCCGGATTTTCAGAAACCACCCCCCTGTCCGGATTTGTCCGAAATTCCAAAACCACCCCCCTCCCTATTTGCCGGACGTCCTTAGTAGATGGCCCCTTATGACATGTATGTTAAATAAAATACATGAATTGTAAATGACTAATGAGTATCGTATCATTTCGACACATGTCAGACGTTGGCTGCATAAATTATGTAATAATTGTTTTTGGATATTCTAAACTTTTGTTACCAGAGTACCAGACAAGCCTTTTTTTACTGTGTGCCAAATTTACTCAATTTGTACGGCTTCTCAATTCTCGTGCAGCATGCCCCCATCAAATGATGTGCTATTGCTCGACAGTCGACTGTGCTAAATCATGTATAATATAAGCGGGACAAGAGTGTAACAAAACTATTCAAACAATATGCAGTAAATTTCAACAATTATGGTAATTTTCCAGTTATAAGGTTAGACACCCTTAACAATAGTCAATATACAAACCAATTTAATCCTCCTCATTCGACCTGTCACTCTTCCCCCCTCATTTTCCCATCGATTTCCCCAGAATCATCTCCTTAGAGGGTTGCCACTTGTGGGCCATTGAAAGTATGATATGGGTCCATTGAATTAACCCATAGATCACTGTATGTAACAATTTAACAAACATGTTTACTTTTTAGTCACATTGGCGATTGAACTTCCAAATTGGACCCTGGACACGATTCACAATCATTATAATCGTTTAAATAATGACATATCATGCAGCTGTTCGGTATGTATCATTTATACTTAGAATTGAGTAATAATGAACACGGTATTTCAAATTTCAATCAAATACTGTCAAGTAAGAAGCTATTTCTAATATTGTCAACTTTCGAATAATCTTTCCTACTTGACCGCAGTTGCAGTTGCAGTGCCATGACTGAAATAACAGGGTTTAGCGGCAGTAGATGCCATGTAGATGGTATGATGGCACGTGACTTCACTCAATCATTGTAACGTCACTCAACGTGAAGTCAATAATTGTAACGTCGACTCAAAGATCATGGTGCCAATTTTCATTTCAACTTTGAGTTAACCTAAACTAAATGGTGTAATTTGCATGAGTCATAGCACATATTAACAGATATTGTTATAACGGCAACAATTATCACTCTTTAAAACTGATGGATCAAGTCTGACTGGCACATTTGTCGCAATGGAATAGACCTTCAGACTTCAGAGCCATGAAAAATGCAGCTTAATGAAATGAATTTCGAAAGATCAACTGCAAGCTCAAAAATCCTGCTTCTGAGAAAACTCCCTTTCTCAAATGAGGACTTACTGTACAGATGAGGACTTATACTGTACAAATGAAGACTTACTGTTCAGCTACATGAGAAAACAATTCAACAAACTAAAACAGTCAGAGATCTTGCTGTACTCATCTCAAATAACTGCTCAAGGACGCCCCACATCTATCAAAAGTTGGACACTACATTGTCAGATCACCATGTTTGATGCTAATCCTATTCAGTGCAATCTTAAGAAGCAAGTTAGAACACTGTTGAAACCCCAGCAAAAACACTGACATTACACCGCTGAAAAACAAATATCTACGATAATGGTCACCAATCACCATTATGAAAATTACAAGTGAGAACTATAATTCACTGATGAGGCTCTAGAAGTAGAACCCATCAAACTATCACTTTTTAAATTCTTGAAGTATTTCTGAAATTCTATCACCGTCATTGAAGATTTACTAGATACTGTTATCCAGAAGGTTCCAGAAAGTTGTGAAAAATGTTGTCTATCACAGTGAGTGTGGCCGGACACTTCTAATATATATTGACAATGATTTGAACTGAGTGGTCAATTTTTTTTGGATGGTTTAAGGGAAATGGTGCCAAAATGGTGCCAAAATGTATAATTGCTTGGTTTTATCCTACCGATTTATGACCTCGAGAATTTACAATGATGTGAGTCAGAAGCCCATAATTGAGTGATGAGAAACTGTACCCAGCACATCTTAAAATAATGAGGTTAACAAGGTTTGGCCGGTAGAGGGTCCGGGCCGCAGTAGTCCCGTTACCTTAGTATTGCTGTACAACTACTACATCTTAAAATGGTCATAAATCAGTCGGTATGAACACAATTCACAAAGATAGCGAAAAAGACGGTGTAAAAGTGATCAATTTTACGAAAATTTCCAGAAATCTAAGTTAGACCCATCTCTAACGGGAACCGGTCAGGAGGGCGGAAGACGCGTGGGCGGAGGTCGCGTAGGCGGAAGACTTGAGGGCGGAGGACGCAAGGGCGGAAGTTTCCTAAAAGGTTGGACACGAGGGCGGAGGTCGCGAGGGCGGAGGTCGATCCCATGATTTGGGCGGAAGTCTCGTAAAACGATCACATGTCCTAAATGCTCGACTGGTAATACTACAAAACCTGAAACATCACACAACGTACTTCAAATTGTATAAATTATATCAGTTATATTCAATCATTTTAGTGGTACTGATTTCGAATTCTTTGTAACTTTAAAAACAAAATACACAGGGTTATAGAGAACGCTTAAAGGTAATATAAATCACAATGTAATCAATCAATTTTGTCAAAACCCGAATAGAATTATATCATGCAATAACATAAACATTTCACATAGCACTCTTTAGCAAATCAATATAGGTTAAAATATCATCCTCGTACGAATGGTAGTTCTGAACTATGCTGAGGATTCTTCTATCCTTGTCGCTGTTGGCCTTCTTCCTCTTAGGCGGCTGCTCTCCAAGCGAATTCGCTAAGATCTTCTTGTCTGTCGAGGACTGTTCCATCTGGACTGCTGCAATGAAATTGTAGATGGTCGGGTTTGCGTGTCCGACTAGAGCAGAGAACTTCTTGTTCCAGGACTCCACCACGTTGTTTGTCCGGTTCATGTTGAAGTGGCTGCGTTCATAGGCATTCCACGTGGACGGAGGGAATTTAGCTCGTCCGGTGCCGGAGGCAGTCGTTAGTCCCTGGATCCAAGTGGTCTGGAAGTATGCCAGGAGATCATCGTACATGGTTGTTATTGTAGTAGTTGAGATGTAGCTGGAACTAAATAATAAGATACTTCTATTCCCAACATCGGTCTTAAATATACTAGTTGTCTCTCGAGTCGTCTACGTTGTGACTCAAGTTGTTCGTTTCACTGTGCAATCTCTTCGTGTGAAAACAGTTGATCATATCCCAGATCAGTTTACGTGATGTTGTGATGTCCTCACATACCGTTGTGTTATATGAGATCATGACCATGGTGATTCATGACGTGAGTCGAAGTTATGTATCACGTGACTCGATTCGATAGTTTGACTCACATGACACAAGGGCTTCTGGGATATGATCAACAGTTTTCACACGAAAAGATTGCACAGTGAAACGAACAACTTGAGTCACAACGTCAGAATCTCCTAGTCCAGATGGAACAGTCCTGGAGAGCAGCAGCCTAAGAGGAGGAAGGCCAATAGCGACAAGGATAGAAGAATCTTCAGCATAGTTCAGAACTACCATTCGTACGAGGATGATGTTGTGCTATGTGAAATGTTTATGTTATTGTGATATTATTCTATTCGGGTTTGACAAAATTGATTGATTATATTGTGATTTATATTACCGTTAAGCGTTCTCTATAAGTATAACCCTGGCCCTGTGTATTTTGTTTGTAAAGTTACAAAGAATTCGAAATCAGTACCACTAAAATGATTGAATATAACTTTGATTGAATATAACTTATATAATTTATACAATTTGAAGTACGTTGTGTGATGTTTCCGGTTTTTTTCGGGTCACGAAATCCTCTCCGAACCTCCACGTGGTGTGGCCTGGTTGGCACTAACGGGTGGTGTGCTCTCTTGTTGAGTACTAAGGTTGGGACTTGCCAACCCAAAGTTCCCATAGGAACCAGGAAGTCAACACTAACAGCTACCAAGCACCAGGAAATTTCTCTTTCAGAGATCAGGTTACAAGATAGTTCACACACAAATGACGATACGTTAGACACAGATACCTAGCTCTAAGAGCTATTAAATCACCAGGAAATTCTCTTTCAGCTTTCAGGTCCCATCGAAGTCACCCACCACAGAGCTAGGGATTCCAATTCGCTCATCCTGACTACAAGGACACACTGATAATGAGTAGTCTTGGCACTTCTCCCTCCAGTAACCACTTTTCAGGTCTTTTCAGTTAAGACAGCTAATGCGTAAGGGCTGACACACGCTAGACACAGGCTCGTGATAAGACAGAATTAGGGATTTCAACTCTGACTACGAGGACACACTGATAACGAGAATTCCTGGCACTTCTTCCTCCAGTAACCACTTTTCAGGGGACCGGGTTAGCTTTGCCACACTCTTTATTGAAGTGTGACTGGACGCTCTACAATCATCTAGTAGCAGCAGAGTTTGACTGACACCCTTACTGGTTCTATTCAGTTTCTACAGCGGAAGTTCTCAACACTCGAAACAGTTCATCTCGGACATCCTGCAGAGATGCTTTATCACAGCCTGCCCCACTACACGGGGAACCCTTAGATCTACAGTACCCTGGTGGACAGCATAGCTCACTAAAGCATAGTGGACCTCTTAAGTTCTGAGACGCAAAGCTAACCGGACCAGGAATAAACATCAATGCAATGCTTAGGGGATTCAAATAGGACATACAACGTTTAACGATTTACTCGAACTTTTGATTCATTTTTAAGCTCGACGTAACATGGTATCAATTCAGGACAAATATTCCTTCTTCAGCAGAGGCACATATTAGGTGCGATGGGTGCGGGATCGCACAATTTACCGTTTTCCGCACATTTCCGCATAATTTATTGTTTTCCGCACATTTCCGCACATTTTGTAATTTTCTGCATATTTCCGCATAATCTAGCATTTTCCGCGTAATTTCGCATAATTTTGAAATTTTCGCGTTAAGATTTTCGAGTGTAAAAACCAAAATATGTTAAAAGTCGGGCCCTTTTAGGACCGTGACTCAGGCCATTTCGGGACCCTGACCCAGGCCCTTTCAGGACCGTGACCCAGGCCCTTTCAGGACCGTGACCCAGGCCCTTTTGGAACTTATACCTAGGCCACGTGACCCAGTTACCGCGTGACCCAGGCCCTTTCGGAACCCTGACCCAGGCCCTTTCGGGACCGTGACCCAGGCCCTTTTGGAACTCATGCCTAGGCCACGTGACCCGGTTACCACGTGACCCAGGCCCTTTCGGGACCGTTACCCAGGCCCTTTCGGGACCGTGACCCAGGCCCTTTCGGGACCCTGACCCAGGCCGTTATGGAACCCTCGTCGTTACCGTATTTCGATTATAGTGTATCAGTTATCATTCGTAACTTCACCACATCATCTGATTACTAGAAGAAGTAGGTGTAATTAAGGGTAATGAGCTCTATTCGTTGTAGCGTTGGCTTTATAGTGGGCTTAATGGATCTTGGATCAAATGGTTTAATTCCTGTTTAATTCCTGTTTAATTCCTGTTTAATTCCAAGTACTGACGATCAATGCAAACAAGCGTGTCATATATTAGCGATCACGCATGGGATCTGATCGAATCTATCAAGAGGCGTCTTCAAATAACTGTCTCCTGATCTCTACCAGATCAAGTCACACTCACTGTTCTCAGATAACTGAATCTCAATATAGGTTCAATCATGGTCTTAGTAAAGAACTACACCCTCAGTAACACATAAACAGACCTATTTTTGATAAGAGCGGCGGTTATACGTTTAAAATTTCCAAAGTCCTTGAGAAAATGCAAAAGAAAACTGCACAATTCCTGCACAAATTTCGAAAAAATCGCCGCATATTTGCCGCATAATTGGTAAAAATTTACCGCACCTTACCGCACATTTTACCTTTATAGTCGGGTGCGGTACCGCATAATTTTGATTTTATTACCGCACCTAATATGTGCCTCTGTTCTTCAGGTTCATTGAGGAAATCGTACCCGCTATTTGCGTTATACATGGCAAGTATCTGGACTAATGATAACTTAGGATCTCAATCAATCATAAATTCCTCTCAGATTCCCAGGCTGCATTTAAAGCCCTTAACAGCACCAATTTTAACTCCAGGTTCGTTCTGAACATCTCAGACCAACTCAACTCGCTAGGTTTTCTCATCGAGTAGAACTTTGTTCCAGGACATGAAGGAGTATACGGTAAAGAACTAGCGGACGAATTCGCAAGGACGTTCAATCCAACAGCATCCCCATAGGACCAGAACCCTTCCTCCCAAATAGGCCACACTCAGTGACAAAGGAACATTCCACTTGAGATGTACCTCGGACACAAATATAAATACAGGAACTCACATCAGCTGGCTAACATGGTCGTTTTCAGGATAGGTCACAGCCAACTAGTTTATTTTCAGAACGTGGCAAACAACGTCAACTTCGAGACGCAAGATTGTGAACACTTTTCAGGAGAAGCAGAAACATCCCAGCACCTCCTCTGCAAGTGCATCCAGATCATGAGGTTCAGAATGAGGATAATTGGTAAACTCTACCTTAACAACAGTAAACTACAATCATATCTTCAAATTTGTGGAACAGTCGACAAGACTGGATAGGGAAAACCCTTTTGGGTAACCTCCTAGGATAGACGACCTATTTGGATAAGCATCTAGGACATACACCAAGGCTCATAAACAATCATACACTAGACCCACACAGGACTATCTCAGATAGTGACACATATTCAGGTGTGGACCATGCTCGGAAGTCCCTCGCCTGCCCGCCAAAGAAGAACATCTGAAGTGGGTTTGCTCTGAGCAAGGTAGTAACAGCTTCGAGACTCCAGAGGTCTGTTGCGTTGATATCTATTATTCTATGTTTTTGTATATACTTAGGGAGTCCTGGAGTGTGGCTAGCAGGAGTCACACTCTGTGGGCACGGCGAGAAGGCCTCCCTCTTCACTAGGAGGCCAGAAACCGTTGACCAAAACAGAGAGAGAGAGAGTGTTTCCGGTTTTGTAGTATTACCAGTCGAGCATTTAGGACATGTGATCGTTTTACGAGTCTTCCGCCCAAATCATGGGATCGACCTCCGCCCTCGCGACCTCCGCCCTCGTGTCCAACCTTTTAGGAAACTTCCGCCCTTGCGTCCTCCGCCCTCAAGTCTTCCGCCTACGCGACCTCCGCCCACGCGTCTTCCGCCCTTGTGTCCTATACCCTCTCTAACTCCTGCAATTTTTGTACAATTCTGACAAGAATTCGGCGAGTGATACTGATGGTAGAGCTTGTTTCTGTGAACAGGCCAAATCTGTGTCAAAACCTGTGTCAAAACTGTTAGGGATCGTTCACTACGTAAGACTAATTTTTTGGTCATTTTAATCCCCCTGACCCGTCCGTAAGCCGATTCACACGTAAATATTGTGTAAAATTACAATAACAACCCTTTTCGACCTCATACCCCCTAAGCCCATGCACATGTGCGCGTCTCTACTCTATGTTGTTATTGCGCGCTCTTGCAATTACTGTGTTGAAAATTCTATGCGTCTTCCATTCACTAACAATATTTTCCCGATATATTTTGTTGAAGATAAATCGATACTTTCAGCTGGAAAGAAAACAGATGTTAAACCTTAATTTTTAAAATTCATAACCACAATCATTTGTAACGAAATATCAGAAATCTGAAAATGAATGTATGAATTATACGAATCCGAAATCAGAAACATTACATAATTACTAACAATAAATTAGAAACTCTAAGCTGGTTGGTATGAATAAGTAGCTAAGCGTAATTAACTACCAACGAATAACACGTTTGTGATGAGAGACAATCTGAAAAGTCTTATCATTTAATTGAAATTGACTGTAGAATTCACATCCCTGAATCATGCCGAACAATTTCTTAATTCTATTCATGCAAAATCGAAATAATTGGAGATCAAAGAAATTATATTTCATTCGCACACCAAACTGAGTCGCAAGCATTCAATATCGCTCGTTTGATAACTACTAATCCGATCTCAATTTCTTGATGAAAATCATTTTTAGAGAATTTTAAGGAATCATCAACCCATGATCAAGGTAAACACGCATAAAAATAAAATACTTTTTCAACATCTATGAGTCTCATTGCAAATCACAATGCGGCTAAAATTGAGCTTCCCATCCTCAAATTGGTACATTAGTGAAAACGCAAAGTTTCTGCTACGTTTTATACCATTCACAGTTCATTTGCTATTATAGAGAACGATCAGATTAAGGGGGCATATTGTAGTCTAAACCTCCGTAGAACTACTTTCCCATTTTGAGGGGTATGTAATTAAGTTGTATTCATGGTCGTCTGTTTAGTCTTGAGGCTCCGATTTGACGCCAGTGCCACTGAAAAGAGTAAATATTATCAATTTTATCTGGGAAGTATGGTAAACAATTTTAATAAATGTACATGAAGTGATGGAAGATTGGACATATGGCAGAACAAAACATTGTTGCAGTTAAGAATAAAGGAGTTCTGGTTAATATCCTCCCCGGGAGGAGGAGGATATTCGTCAGAACTCCAGCACACACTTTCTACCACGCAACTTATTAAAACATTTGTTTACAGATTGGATGATAAACAAACGCAATACACGGTATATCTAACAGCAAATGCTGTTTGTTGTTTTGGTTGTTTACTAAACAATATGCCATATAAGGCGCGATTGTCAGCTGTACGTGGCGGCTATAAACAAAAGTTGGAAGTACACGGGAAACATAATATGTTACTATAAAGTAAGTGTATCACTAGTTACAAGTAAAAGTTATGTTGTACTATCAGTTTGGTAAATCCTCAGAAGTTTATCAACGCATTTTCACACTGCAAGTTATGTTGTACTAGGGCATCAGTTTGGTAAATTGCCAGAGGTTTCACACTACAGTCTACAGAACTCTCTCAACCAAAAGCTGTGTGAACAGTGAAAAGCTGAGACTAGTTTCATCATAACCACCTTCAATCACGTGTAGTCCTCATCAAATGACCAATGGTTCACTCACTAACATTCCCGCTTGTTTACTCACTTCACTATTTTACCACTTATCTCATAGAGCAGATACAGATTCCATCTTGTTGAGCATTGCAAGTTTTATATATAGTAGGAGACCTGCTCCGTGATGTCTAACTCTGTCGATGCCGGGTACCGACAATACATTTGAGTTCTTTCCTCAGATAACCAACTTTCGTAGTCAATGATAAACTACTTTATTAAAACTATGGACATTGTAATCTAAATCTGGTTTACAATTTACAAGTTACCTGCTGAGAATCTTCTGAGCGAAGGATCCAAGGTTGGGCCACGAGGTTACAATGGGGTTAGAAAGAGGTGTTTCGTGGTTGTTATCGGCTGTTCTTCTGAAACACAGAAAACGTTATTATAATTACACGGGTTATAATGGGTGATCGATAACATGTTTGTAACATGTTTGAGTGTAAAAACCCTTTGTGTGCTGATATTTTCATAGATCATTTGTCCAAAATATTACACATTCAATAACAATATACTGATATATAACAATAATTTATGATCTATTTGAATCTGAAAACGCGATGTAACATGTGCAATGGCTCATGTCCTCATGGGGTCCCCATTCATCACAGCTGCCTCTGTGAAGTTTAAAATATTCGAACGTTTTTACTTTGACCGGAATTATATGTCACATTATTTATTTCCACAATTATATTTATGTACTTATAAGTAGAAATAGAAACGACCGGTTGAGTCAAACAATTGTTTCAATCATGAAAGCATGATGTCACCATACTTATAATAAGTATATTCTGTGATTTGTGGCGTCCACTAAGATCGGATTTTCGACATAATTTTACCATATCATAGAAAATGGAGGTTTTCAGGGATATTTCAGATTCTTTCAAGAACGTCTGTTCCGGGGTAACAAAATAAAAACTCGATATATAATATCCAGAAATGATGATATCCAGCTTAAAGTACGTGTGGTGTGGTGTGAGATTAGGTTTGGGGTGTCATTACCACTACTTCTGTGTTTATTAATAGCACATTCTACATCCTTTATATACCTCTTTCCTCTGTTAGTGACTATTTGCTATTCTTATTTACGTTCCAATGTGATTTTCAGTAGCTGAAAGAAAATAACTGAGAAATAAGCAGGTCACGTGACTAGGTCAGTATTTACAGAATGTTGTTTTAGAGTTAGAGTTAGGGTTTAGAGTAAAGAAGGGTGGCTTCTGAGATGTAATAATGAGATATAATAATGAGTTCATACTTTTGAATGGTGACTTAAGACAAAAGTGGAAATGTAGAACTGCCGAAATACGTTTATACAGTTAAAAGTTTGCCTTTTCGGCATCTGTACATGTGAAAGTTAAGATTGAAGACACTATGTTTGGATAATGAGGTATTTATAATATAAGTTTTAAAAATAATGATATCCGATGAAACAGTGGCTGATTGATGGGATTATTTCTAGAATCGATAGAGAGAAATGTGTTAACGCACCTCTCAAAGTTCTCCTGGATAGAGTTGACCTGTTCAATAAGATGTCTCATGTAACCACTACTGGACATTCCAACTCCTTCCTCAGGATTCCTGACAAGAAGACAATTTGAAATAAGAAAACATTGTTTTTAATACTTTCAACACTACTATATATTATTATATAACCAATAATTTGAGGTTCAATGTCACCGAAGATGACTACAATCGAAATATATAAGGCAAGAATCTGAATGTTTTCAGTGTTGAAAGTTTAGTTTCTTAAATCCTGGAGTTGTCATTCGAGTCCCTGATATTTGGGTTATTTCTAACTCTCCTAAGAAAACATTGAAATTGAAACAACACTAAAAGTTGAGAAAAAACTGAAAGTTGAGAACATTTGAACATTTTTTGAACGTTTTAACATTTGAAATATAATTTGGAACATTACAGTAACGTTATTAAAATCTCAAACAGAAAAATTATATTTCAAAGCTTTGTGTTTTGATCATATTATCGTGGGTGTATAGTGATTTTGATTGCATGATTTTGATTGGGCAGTGATGGTGAGTGAGAAAATGTTGGGAGTGCCAGTCAGTAACTCTGTCAAATGAACAGCCCACTGAGGAGTGGGTGAGCGCAAACGTGAGAACAGCAGAAAGGGCGGCACAAAACGGCACACTCAGAAAAGACACAAAAACTAAGCCGTGCGCGGTAAGTTAGCCAGTTTCTGAGAGCCGTTAAGATGACGCGTGTAAGCTCTTAACTATAGCACATGAAATCAACAACCTGTGTGGTAGTGTGATAACGTGTTAGAAGATAGAGAAAGAGCAGATGAGTGTGCAATTATCTAATCTGACTGTTTGTTATCTTTCAGAGTTACACTCAGCTCCGTACCATGACCGGGACAGTTTAATTCTTGAAGGCATTCCTTCTACAAGTATAATAAATGCCTGTTTCTGATTTTGGATCTATTTATTGAGTTAAACTGGTCTGAAGTTCGACACTAATTCATATTTTTACGAATTATTAATCAAAAACCAAATCGAATACGCCCCAGGGCCAGCGTGAAAAAATTCAGACAAATATTTGCCCCTAAACCGTGATAAACTCTGTTGAGAATACAAAGTCTAGACACTTGTAATGGCTTTTTGAGACATTCCATTATCGATAAAGACCATTATATCAGTATGATGTGGTTTTTTGATAGGTGACAATAACATCATATTTTACAAAAGTATTTTACCAAACCGACCGTGAGTATTGAGTACGCTTCGAGTTCGTGGTTTGAAAAGAATGAGGAAGCCTCGAGTTCGTGGTTCTTAAAGAATGAGGAAGCCTTGAGTTCGTGGTTCTTAAAGAATGAGGAAGCCTCGAGTTCGCGGCTTGTAAAGCATGTGTGATTACAAGGTATGCAATGTAGGAAGTTCATCTGTAACTTCTTATTTTCGGATCTCAGACATGTTAACCAGAAGTTAAAAGTTTCTTTTCCCGATAGACAAAATCTAACTCTTAGTACAAAGTACTGACGCGGCACCATGAAACGGTTACTCCTCATCTTATTAATGAGATATTGTGTATCAACTATAAAATAAGATATTGTGTATTAACTATACAAGGTCCCAACCGTAGCAGTTGCAACTCATAAAAACAAACATTTTGTTTATCGTGTATATTGAGTGGGAGCATTATATTGTTGTTCTTACACCACAAGGAAAACATGTTTCCTTGTTATAGCTGCGGAACATATTTGTCATGCTATTCTAATAAAGTTGCAGATGTATTGAGTATTGTACCCCTACACTCTTATCATAGTGGACATGTGATGCGGCTAGATAACGGGGGAGGTTAAGGTATTTCAAGGGTTTTTTATTGTAGCTGTCTAGTGTCTAGTCGGAGTTGTACCACTCCTCCGGAACAGCTCTCAACAATGAACCCTTCATTACTTCTCATAGAAAACAATTTATTTTTGAATACAAATCAAATTAGTTGCACTGTATTTCCGAGGCCAAAATTAATTAATACCGGCAAAATCTGACAAAACACAAATTAAACTCTGCTCGGATCTTGCAAATTCCTGCAACCAATCAACTTCATGACATACGTCACGTGACATATCCCAGCCACTGACAAGACCGAACCTTCCTGCATCTCTTTAAACAAACTTGACGGGAAGAAGGAGCAGCCCTAAAGCAAACTACTCACTCCACCAATAACGTCAGAGAGGGCCCACTCAGCTTCAACTACATCAATTAGCATATCTAATCAGCCATTCTTTAGGTTTGCGGAATTTTCATGCCAATTTAGGAGAGATAAATGCCCTAATTTTCATGAGCTGTGGTTGAATGGACTATTGTGAGGTATATCCACAAAACAACTGTCTCCATTTTATTGGGTATCTTCGTGTTCAACAATTAAAATGGCGGTTAAAAATACAGTCCATGGAAATTTCTAAACCAATCAGTGGACAGAAATCAATCAGAGACAAAAGCTGACTTTTTGCATGCTAAAAACACCTACACGAAGTTTTGGAAGCACTTTGTTATTATAACCGATCTCATCTAGACCCATGGCACCAGCATGCTGCTTCCTAATCCAGGTACAAGCTAAATAGCGGAGTTGGTGAAAATAACAGGGTGATGAGGAATGCTGGAATGAGGGCTGCGGAGTGCGGGTGATGAGGAATGCTGGAATGAGGGCTGCGGAGTGCGGGTGGTAGTAAAGCTGCAGAGTGCCAGACTGGGCCGGTAGATTGCGCCCGTCAATTCAATAAAGCATTAGTCCCGCTCATGAAGCATTAGTCCCGCTTATAACATTAATGACTAGCTGTTGAAATATCCTGGCACTAGGACCCTCCCTGACCGTAGAGTCTGCAGATTACTGATAACGATAACTAGATCAGATATCCTCACAACAAAGCTAACTGTGTGAAGTGTTCCTAAGAAAACTGGTCTTTAATTTGGTTTTTTAAAGAAAAGTCTTCAGTAATGGTTACCAGATATATGATATTCGGTGTTGCTAAGATGGTTTAGTGTTTAAGAAGGTTACCTGGTGTTGCTAAGATGGTTACCTGGTGATGCTAAGAGGGTTACCTGGTGTTGCTAAGAAGGTTACCTGGTGTTGCTAAGCAGGTTACCTGGTGTTGCTAAGATGGTTACCTGGTGTTGCTAAGATGGTTACCTGGTGATGCTAAGAGGGTTACCTGGTGTTGCTAAGATGGTTACCTGGTGTTGCTAAGAAGGTTACCTGGTGTTGCTAAGATGGTTACCTGTTGTTGCTAAGATGGTTACCTGGTGTTGCTAAGATGGTTACCTGGTGTTGCTAAGAAGGTTACCTGGTGTTGCTAAGATGGTTACCTGGTGTTGCTAAGATGGTTACCTGGTGTTGCTAAGAAGGTTACCTGGTGTTGCTAAGATGGTTACCTGGTGTTGCTAAGAAGGTTACCTGGTGTTGCTAAGATGGTTAGCTGTTGTTGCTAAGATGGTTACCTGGTGTTGCTAAGAAGGTTACCTGGTGTTGCTAAGAAGGTTACCTGGTGTTGCTAAGATGGTTACCTGGTGTTGCTAAGAAGGTTACATGGTGTTGCTAAGATGGTTACCTGGTGTTGCTAAGGGTAGTATTAGACAAGCTGGTGACAGCCAGGTTGGTGCTGGTGAGCCGGTTTGCTCTGCGGAGCTGGAACTCGTCTTCGTTTACCATCCAGCCACTTCCTGTTGGAGCCTCAACTCGCTGGAAGCACTTGTGAAGTGATAGGTTGTGTCGCACTGCGTTCTTCCACTGGAGAAAATTAGTGTTAGATAAGAAAAATAGATGGGAAGGAGGCTCTAGCACCCATAACCAACCGCTCCACCACTAAGTGGTGCATCATAAAAGCTTAGGTTCCAGAAAAACGAGCATATCGAATTTTCACGAACGTGGTACAGTGCACACCCTGCTTTGCCCGGCAATTTTGTAAATTTCTCACATTTTTCATTGGAAAGAAAGAAAAGGACCCACCCATCTGCTGGTGTTAGTGAGGGAGAAGAGAAAATACCCCCACTCCCAGAGTAAGAGATAATGTATGAGAGTGTGAGTGATGTACGTTATTCAGAACTCCCACTTTAGCAGTGAATAGTTTTACTATTAGTGTTCTTACAGCGACTAAATTAGCTGTTTAATTAGCCTGAAGGTGGTCGTGAGACTACTACCTGAGAGGTGTTGTATCGAAAGAAGGCGAAGTGTTGACTGAACCAAGTGTATATCTCGTTAAGTGTCAGCCTCTTGTAAGGAGAGTTTACTATCGCCTGAAATAATATTTTTTAACTGAAACAAATTACAATTGTCACAAACTTGTAGACCTATGGGTTCGTACAATAGAGTGGAACGATGATTCGAAATTTGGACATTTTGGGGAGAAACAGCTAAAACAGTTTTCCTGTACCAATATCCTCAACTACAGTGAGTTCTATAAATTATCCGTGACTGTAATCTTAATCACATCGTTAAGGCGGCTTCTAACTCCTCAGCATTTCTGAGAAACCAGCTAAAAGACTGGAATCGGTGTGGGTGTTGTTCGCATATACTTGTACGACATTTATTATAGTGCACACAATAGGCGGGCTAATGACGGAGCTTATTTGGGATATTCACCCCAACCCTCGCCAGACTGTTAAACGAATTTAGTATTTGTTTAGCCTCCCCTTCCGCTAATGTTGATATGAAAGTCAGCAAACGTTGCTGTTTTGTTATCATCTAATCCAATCACCACCAGACTTATGCGATGAATAAGACGACAATCTTCATACCGTTTGCATATTTTCCAGTCCACACCAATTAGGAATGATTCAAGAAATAGGATTAAGTTTGACAATCGATCTGCACAGCACAAGCATTCGTGGTAGCTCTAGGTGCTTACTGTGGTAAAGGAAATAATATAAGATTCAAATTTCCCGTTTTTGACCCGAGCTATACCTGACAGATTTTTCTAAAAAAGATCATTTTAGAAATTACATTATTGGAAGTAACGCGGAGATTATTGAAAAGAAGAAGTATGTAGCTAACCTCTCGAATTAGAGACGCGTAAGTGAAGGGAGGTTTTACCCCTGGGTTCTGGTAAAGTGCCGCGTTCGCCAGAATACCTGTTGGGTAAAGTGCACGTTAGATTGTAAATCAGTAAATAAACATGAGTTTTTTTATTATTTAGATGTCGCTTTTCCATACGGATCATTTACAAATATCCGTCTTAGAGCGCAATGTTCATACATAACACTGTTCATAACAATGTTCATACATAACACTGTTCATAACTATGTTCATAACACTGTTCATAACAATGTTCATACATAACACTGTTCATAACAATGTTCATACATAACACTGTTCATAACACTGTTCATAACAATGTTCATAACACTGTTCATAACAATGTTCGTACATAACACTGTTCATAACAATGTTCATACATAACACTGTTCATAACTATGTTCATACAGACAACTTTAAAGATTATTAGCTGCGGATCACGGATTGTTTTCCGGTTACTATACACCTCAATCAGGAATTGAAACTTTTTCCCTAAAAATAAATTTATCATCAGATACACTACAATATAGTACATAGATATATGACACTTTTCCAGCGTTGCCTTCTTGTACATGATCACTGACCCGAAAATAAGTACAGCCGAAAGATAATAATAGTAATTTAGTAATTATATTAATAAGATTACAAGAGAGATCATTCTGCACTTTCAGAGACCCGGTAACAATCATAATTTGATAAAGCAATAATTTGAATAATTTTGCCAATGCGCAATTGATATCTATAAAAGAGCCGATTATCATTGATTCATGAATAGGGAATGATCTACACTACTCTGTGAGAGCATTTAAATCAACTTTTAAATGTTTTGAAAATGTCCAAAAAAGCATTTTATTTTACCTAGCTTTTTGATAATATTCCTAAATATAATATAATATTTGTCCATAATATCCACTTCGATATAGATGTGCATAATCTTGATATACATTTCTATACTAAGGCTCACTTGAATGACTTACATGTATCGTTTAATGAGGAAATTTGTAATATCAAAGCGTGTAATAAATATTACTATAGATTTATTATTATTATGAAAACATAGCATCATGGACAATAGCCGTGCTTTTATCGTTTTCGAAATATTTGTCGTTTTATCTCAATAAGATGAATTAAGTATTAGATCATCAGCCATCTGTGTGTTTAAAAACTTTCGGAGTTAATGAAATATAACGAGATGTTTGAGCGAGGGTGTTAAATCTAGTGAGCCACATGTTTGTTTCATTGTTCAACTCACCTTTTGTCTAAATCAACGCTATGCTTACCCACATTAAATTAACCAATGAGGAGGCGAGATTCCCTTAAAACACACTTGACAAACATTGATTTGATATAAAATAAACTAATTAGACGGCTTAAAGAAGGTGTAAACGAGCCCAGCTGCTGCCTTTTCCCTCATATATTTACTAAAATCAATCTAGATTCCTTGATTTGATTCCGACTCGTGGCTAGCACCGAGTTTAATTAAACTAATTAAACTTTTCGACGTATTCCTCAAAATATATATATTGCCGTAAAGTCACGCCCACGATTGCCCGGAAAAGATTACTTTTCAGATTCAAGCGACAACCTTGACAATTTGTGAAACATGTTGCGTGCGACAATATCAAATGTTAACCTCTGATCATAAAAATATTCAGTCAATACGAATGTAATATGTAATATTGGACAGTGAAATAATAACAATAGGTTGACAAAAAATCATTTAAACTAAAGATACATCAATGTGGTTGAACTGCGAATAAATTTATGAATTGGTGGTAAAATGACCATCCTGCACTGCACACGACTTGGTATTTCTAAAAGTAACAAAGTATGATACTTACTGCCGGGAGCAGGAGCGGAACTGTTCTTGAGTCTGCACTCAGTGGTCCCTTCATAGTGGGTGGGAGAAGTAACACTAGCCAGGGTGATGTGAGGAGAAGTGGTGATACGAGGCAGCATGTTCTCGTAGATACTTGTCAGTGTAGGCAGGGAGGGTAGAGCGGTCGTGATGGGAGATGTTAGGGACAGGGACGGGATCTGAGGAGTGAGCTATATTGTAGTGTGTATGTGGGCGCTGGTGTATGAATACAAATAAGAAACATACAAATTCCACACATTCCGAGTATATATAGCAAAACTTACAGAGTTAGTCCTGGTAGGATGAGCCTGGCTTATAATACCATTGCTATTAGTGACAGGAACACTCAGACTGCGCTGCAACATGTCACGTGTGACGCGAGTGTCTGCCATCTGACTCCCTATTGTAACATTCGGGGGTCCTTCACTTCGGGGGGAGCTAGTCCGGAGGTCACCACCACGAGGGGGCGAGGGGGGACTCTCCGGGAAATCCTGGAATAGCGCATTTTTAACATTCTCGTTAAATTATCTGATATCCGTTGTATTCACCTATTGAAAAGAAACTATGTACCTGTTCCGGTAAATAGATACACAAGCACACATTTTACAAATTAGTTAAAGATGTGTAAAGTAAAGCGAATTTGTTTTGCCCTGCCTCAACAGTTATCTGTTATTGCATAAAAACCATCGACGATATTGCTTTGGAAATCAAGCAGATCGGCAAATTATTTGAAATGCAAGAAGCCAGTTAAAAGGTTTTAACAGGGCAGTCTAGTTAAACTATCTCGATGCTGTGTACTACAGTCCAGGTCACATGGTATCATTACCATTAATATTTTCGCTGACCACAAAAAATAAAAATAATATCTGTCCAGTGGAGCACGGAATAAAGAGGTGTTTAAAGTGATGCTTGTTATTTAGAGGCAGATTTTCTCTATCAAGATGCGATTGTTTAGGATAGCAGTAAACAATTATAATCGTCAATTTTCGATAAACGAGCATATTACTCACGTTAAGGTGTAGCAGTATATATTATATAGTATATAATTATATATATAGTATTATATACTTGCAGTACTACTTGATAGGAACTTGGCTTTTAAATAAAGAGCCAAAATTCAACTGATAAAAGTTATATAATATATATATATATAATATGTTAATTGAAAGTTAACTAGCGTTCATTGAATCGGCAAAACGATCTCTGAATATTTAATTTTATGTCTTTAAGAGGCCAAAATTTGACCAAAACCTGACCCGTTAACCTTATCATTCTCAAAACATAAAACGAAATAAATCTGAATGCTTTTTGGCCAAGCATGATACCCAATTAAACAGGGGGGCCGGGGGGTCTAAAGAGGTAGACCGGGCACAAGTTTAGCTGTGTATCAACAGTTGTTTACCTTGCCTCTTATTGTTGGTGTTATGTTGTTTTACACCCGATGTAATAAACAGTTTTCAAATATCATAAAACATGACGCCCAATAAAAAAGCCCACATGTTTCAGTGTATTGGACATTGAATCATGTATAATCATAACAAAAGAAATATTATGGGGAAGGATAGAATACAATACAAACAACAACATGGCGAACCTAGCAAGCTAAAAACGAGGGGTCGATTTCCTTTTCGTGTGGTGTTCGGCCACGGTCCTTTCGGACAATGGCTTTACATATTATCATTGTTCTTATTATATCTATTATAGGAGTCCTAAAGACTATAGGTATTTAACCGTAAAAAGTAGCGGCGCATGACCTAATTACAAAATAGACCTAACTCACCTGATGTAGAGAGAATATAGCATCAATTGACAAGGATTTGGAAGGGAGAGAGTGTAAGTGAGCCATCATAGCAGAGAGCCGTTCCCGCTCTTTCTTCAACTGACAAAAACAACGCCATTAACCAGATGAATTCATTTTTGTCGTTCAGCATATCATCCCAAAATACAACAATAATGTTTTATTCTCTTAGAATTATGTTACCTGTGCTTCTAGGTGCAGAACAGCCTGAGTCTGAACCCTGCACTGTGCAGTCGACTTGTCATTTAGTCCGTGATGTCGAAGCAAGTGTTCAAGGAACTCGGAAGTGGTATGACAAGGAGTCTCACAGCCCGCCCATTGGCACAAGTAGTTCTGGTACAGAGGGTGGGACTGATCTGGAGATAAAGTAACGTGTTAAAGTAATGGTTAGTTATGTAATGACTTATAATGTAATTATCAACTAATCCCAATTAGAGTATAAAATGTTTAATGGATTTATAAAATATTTTAACTCACATTCAGTATCTGGGATTCCCCTGAAAGATACAAAGTTAACATATAGGTATTAAATTTTATAGGATTGACGAAAAATGCAGTCGGCATAGGAGATCATATGAAATCAGAAGAACAAACACTTTCTTTGAAAACCACCTTAATGACCAAAAAATGCGTCTAGTACCAATTTGAAAAATTACTCACGTTTTGTTGATATTAAGACTAGTTGGTATACTATTTCTCAACTGAAGACCAAGCTCTGTTGCCATGTCAAACTTTACCATTGACTGAATAACATAACAACTGCTTCAATCACTGATTTATAATAAACTAGAAAGCCCGTGATCACAGGGAGGAAATAATATTACTCTTTGGTAGCCAGTTTTTATCGAATCAAAAAACATCCCTCACAACCAAATATACAGCCGATTCAAATGTAATAGCTTGCACTGAACACAACATAATAACAACAAAACCGATCAAAATGTCGCTTGCAAATATTTGCACGTGCGCGTTTAACACCGTTACCATGGTTACTATGCAACTTCTTATTCTCATCTGATTTGCATGTGGGGGGTCGTACAAAGATAATCTTTCGAATTATATAGTAGATTAAGAGCAAGAAATGGCAAACACACATTTTTTATCATTTATTTGAATATTAATCATTATATATTGGAATCAAGCATTACGTTTCAGCCATGCAAAATTACATTGACATTATTTGATATAAAACTAATGTAAACAATCGTATTGATGTGTGGCCGGATGAAAGCTAAACTAAACTTGAAAATTAAGTTAACAAGGCGTTGTTTTACTGACAGTTGTGGCTGACTAACAATATATATATAATATATTATAATATATATAATAAATAATTCTGCTGGAACCCCACATTAACGTTGGAGCTGTTAGCAGTTGTATAACAAACAATAACAAACGATAGCAAACAATATAATATATCATATACATGATTCAAATGTAAAAATATGGCTGGTTACAATTCTGTCCCAACTCCAATCGGATGGACAGAATTATAATCAATAAGATATAAATGGGGGAGGGAGGGGCGCCAACATTCAACATTACGCCACTACATTGCCCCTTTTTTCCTTATATAAAATGAATACTGAGTCAATAAAGTGATAAATCAAGTATTTCAAAGAGTTGCCATATGATCATTCACATTTAACAGCTGTAATTTACCAATTAGCTTGAAAATCGCTGTAAAATACGATGGGCATTAATGGGCATAAATGGGCATAAATGGGCATTAATGTGCAATAATGTATATGTATATTTCAGCAAAATTCTATAATACTGACATTAATGACCAGGTTTTTATGCAAATTTTGTAGTAGTTCGTGGTCATTTATGTGCATTAATGGGCATAAATGAGCATAAATGGGCATTAATGTGCATTAATGTATAATATGTATATTTCTATAAAATTAACATACACATAAAATTCTATAATACTGACATTAATGACCAGGTTTTTTTGCAAATTTTGTAGTAGTTCGTGGTCATTTATGTGCATTAATGGGCATAAATGGGCATAAATGGGCATTAATGTACATTAATGTATATGTATATTTCAGCAAAATTCTATAATACTGACATTAATGACCTTTGTATCCCCCCCCCCCCCCACGATAAGTACTCTCTATACCACGGACTAAGCTGTAACATGAACCTCTATTCCAAGACTCGCTATACTGTGAACCTATACTTTTCCTCAGATAGCTCAAGTGATGTGAATACTGACTGAGCTAAAGTCCCTGGTAATACAACATAATAGGTGAGCCCTTGATGCGATCTATGATAATCTTAAAATTTAACATGAAAGGCTTTACCTGGGGACCTCGGGCTATCATGTACATTAATAAAGATAAGGCGGAATGACAGGCTGAGCGCGGCCCAGTAAGAAAGGCTACGAAAATATACTGAGGACCGGGATCACAAGGCTACTGAGATTTGAAAAGAGTGCATGCTAGCTAGTGGTACCAAAAAATTGGTGTCTTGGAAACCTTTTAAGATAGGTCAAAGATTGTCAAGACACTCTTGTTTAAGGCAATACTAGCAATAAGCTAAGGCTTAAATTTTGTTCACACCTGTAGAATCAATGTGAGAATCATTTAAATAAAACACAAAATATCTGACTGTTAATATAAAATAAAGACTACTGCGAGGGAATTTATAATATCAATGTTGAAACTTAAAATCTTAAATTCTCCTAAATAAAGCTCCAAAAGATATTTAATATGATTAAAGATACTCAGTGCAGTAAACTGTTTTGGAGGCAAAGTGCACTGATCACTTTGCAAAAGCAAAAACGGCTTTATATTAGTACTAGTCAGACTTGGTTTACTGGGCGGCGCTCAGCCTATCATTCCACCTAATCTTTATGATTATGGACTTGTAGCGCGATGCGTTACTGTGCCGCGCCGCGCGCTCAATTATGCTTCTCGCAACGATCGGCGAGATACGCTACTGTGCCGCTCCGAGCTGTGATGAATTAAAATTGACATCGTCAATTAAGTAAAACAAAATTCAAAATTAAATTATGGATATGAATATAATAGCCTGAGGTCCCCAGGTAAAACTTGGAATGGAGTTATTTTGGGTTTAAAATACAATTTAAGGGATAATATTTTATATCACGTTGTGACCCCCACGGTCGTTTCACTATGTAGAGTTTCTACGGTACAGCTGGGGAACCGCGCACTCGTGCACTACTGCAAGCGAGAGGGCTTTGTATTGGTTAGAGCAAAGGATAATAAACTTGTATAATCGGCGAAATGCGCTACTGTGCCGCGCCGAGCTGCGATGAATTGCAATGACATCGTCAATTAAGCCGCTTCGGGCGCGTGCAATTGATTATTGTTAATGGTCTGCAGCCCAGCGCGCGCTACTTCGAAGAAATTTAGACGCGTAACATCCGTGCTTGTTTCACAAGTAAAGAAACCGCCGGGAGGCAAGCGCGCGCTACTGCAAGCGCAAGGGCTTTTGACGGATGTTACTCGATGGCAAGTGCCGGGCCAAAAGGGCTCTGAATATAAATAAAGCAATTTAAAGGTTCCAATTAGAATTAGACCTCTTCAGGAAAACACGGTATTCCAGTATATTTATTTCTAGTTCCTAGCAGCCAATAATTCAATTTAATTCCCCTTGATGGTTCCAATTAGAATTAGACCTCTTCAGGAAAACACAGTATTCCAGTATATTTATTTCTAGTTCCTAGCAGCCAATAATTCAATTTAGTTCCCCTTGATGGTTCCAATTAGAATTAGACCTCTTCAGGAAAACACAGTATTCCAGTATATTTATTTCTAGTTCCTAGCAGCCAATAATTCAATTTAATTCCCCTTGATGGTTCCAATTAGAATTAGACCTCTTCAGGAAAACACAGTATTCCAGTATATTTATTTCTAGTTCCTAGCAGCCAATAATTCAATTTAATTCCCCTTGATGGTTCCAATTAGAATTAGACCACTTCAGGAAAACACAGTATTCCAGTATATTTATTTCTAGTTCCTAGCAGCCAATAATTCAATTTAATTCCCCTTGATGGTTCCAATTAGAATTAGACCTCTTCAGGAAAACACAGTATTCCAGTATATTTATTTCTAGTTCCTAGCAGCCAATATAAATAATTTAATTCCCCTTGATGGTTCCAATTAGAATTAGACCTCTTCAGGAAAACACAGTATTCCAGTATATTTATTTCTAGTTCCTAGCAGCCAATAATTCAATTTAATTCCCCTTGATGGTTCCAATTAGAATTAGACCTCTTCAGGAAAACACAGTATTCCAGTATATTTATTTCTAGTTCCTAGCAGCCAATATAAATAATTTAATTCCCCTTGATGGTTCCAATTAGAATTAGACCTCTTCAGGAAAACACAGTATTCCAGTATATTTATTTCTAGTTCCTAGCAGCCAATAATTCAATTTAATTCCCCTTGATGGTTCCAATTAGAATTAGACCTCTTCAGGAAAACACAGTATTCCAGTATATTTATTTCTAGTTCCTAGCAGCCAATAATTCAATTTAATTCCCCTTGATGGTTCCAATTAGAATTAGACCTCTTCAGGAAAACACAGTATTCCAGTATATTTATTTCTAGTTCCTAGCAGCCAATAATTCAATTTAGTTCCCCTTGATGGTTCCAATTAGAATTAGACCTCTTCAGGAAAACACAGTATTCCAGTATATTTATTTCTAGTTCCTAGCAGCCAATAATTCAATTTAATTCCCCTTGATGGTTCCAATTAGAATTAGACCTCTTCAGGAAAACACAGTATTCCAGTATATTTATTTCTAGTTCCTAGCAGCCAATAATTCAATTTAGTTCCCCTTGATGGTTCCAATTAGAATTAGACCTCTTCAGGAAAACACAGTATTCCAGTATATTTATTTCTAGTTCCTAGCAGCCAATATAAATAATTTAATTCCCCTTGATGGTTCCAATTAGAATTAGACCTCTTCAGGAAAACACAGTATTCCAGTATATTTATTTCTAGTTCCTAGCAGCCAATAATTCAATTTAATTCCCCTTGATGGTTCCAATTAGAATTAGACCTCTTCAGGAAAACACAGTATTCCAGTATATTTATTTCTAGTTCCTAGCAGCCAATATAAATAATTTAATTCCCCTTGATGGTTCCAATTAGAATTAGACCTCTTCAGGAAAACACAGTATTCCAGTATATTTATTTCTAGTTCCTAGCAGCCAATAATTCAATTTAATTCCCCTTGATGGTTCCAATTAGAATTAGACCTCTTCAGGAAAACACAGTATTCCAGTATATTTATTTCTAGTTCCTAGCAGCCAATAATTCAATTTAATTCCCCTTGATGGTTCCAATTAGAATTAGACCTCTTCAGGAAAACACAGTATTCCAGTATATTTATTTCTAGTTCCTAGCAGCCAATAATTCAATTTAGTTCCCCTTGATGGTTCCAATTAGAATTAGACCTCTTCAGGAAAACACAGTATTCCAGTATATTTATTTCTAGTTCCTAGCAGCCAATAATTCAATTTAATTCCCCTTGATGGTTCCAATTAGAATTAGACCTCTTCAGGAAAACACAGTATTCCAGTATATTTATTTCTAGTTCCTAGCAGCCAATAATTCAATTTAGTTCCCCTTGATGGTTCCAATTAGAATTAGACCTCTTCAGGAAAACACAGTATTCCAGTATATTTATTTCTAGTTCCTAGCAGCCAATAATTCAATTTAATTCCCCTTGATGGTTCCAATTAGAATTAGACCTCTTCAGGAAAACACAGTA